AATACTAGATAGCGTGCTCATATGGATGCAATTAGAGTAATAACATTTCTGTAAACAAGGTAAAGGATTTAAATAGTTTGGATGGTCCATGCTGAGTGATAGAAAGATGTAGGATGCAATAGAGAAAAAAATTATGCAAATCAAAATATTGACCGCTACACAAAAAAGTAGTGGGAGAAAGAAAATACAGACTGAACTACAACTAAAATCATCCTACTAGACTTAGATACTGTTGGACACATAGAGCTTGATTCAGTTCTACATTACATCTTGTTCTACACCTCTGCATTATAGTTGAAATTAGTAAAAAACCAGAGGAGTAGCCCAGCAGCGAACGACGCAAGCGTAGGTCCCATACAGAAACGCAGTAAGGAGCATTTCCAAGGCAGGAGACTTTTTAAATGAGAACCTTAATGGATGTAGGTTCTCAAGCAACTGTTACAGAAAATGATATCTACAGACGTGCGATTACATCACTCTGCCAGAGAGTTACAGAGTCTGGCCTTTCAAAATGTTACAAAGCCACCAGTTGTTTCACAAACTCTTCTTTGCCGTGGCAATTATTTCAACCTGCCTTACCTCTCTAAAAATCCATCACCTCTTACAGCTCCTTTGGGTTGGGAGCCATTCTCCCACAGACACCAAGGGCAGTCTGTAAGTTACATACAGAACAGATTGTACCCCTGAGAGCCTCATCCAATTCCTGCAACATGCCACAGCGGTCTTTTCATCAATTTTAACAGAAAACAAGCCAGATCTTGGAAGAACATTCTAAAAATGTCCCAAACCACAGATAACTTTACCTCACCGTGAAGTCAATGGCAGATCTCTTTTATGTCATTGTAGCAGAATCAGGTCTTAGCTTTTTGCTGAAAGAAAAATCGGTATTTTCCTGATATTTCAATTAAAACCTACTGGATTTTTTTTTTTTAATTTAAACTGAAATGCACCAGTGTTTGAGGGAGTTTTTAGTTAAATTTGGGTGGTTCCTCAAAAGCTGGAAATGCAGTCACATTAGTATTGTTCTACTGGAAACTATAAGAAGCATAGTGTTGTTATGGGTGGTAAATGAAATACACAAATAAATGTATCAAAGATTAAAAAATCTCAACTTTTTTATTTTTTATTTTGATTATTTAAGCTGTAATTGTTCACAAATGCATAACAAAATGTTCAAAATTAACAGAATTGCTGAGTATATTAAAGTTCATTGTTACCATGTTTGAATAATTTTTCTTACAATTTAAATGTGTAATTTACATTGTTCTCTATGATAACTATGAAAAATTGTTTCAGTCTCTGCCCATTACATGACAGAATGCAAATTATTTCTGAAGCAACAGAATATCCTATCAAACACACAGAACCATTCGACTACATTTAAAATCAGACACTGGTTGCAATGTTTATCTATCTGAAGTACTACTCGTGGATAACATCGTCTTTCTCACCTACATATTCTATTCCAGCATGCATTACTCTTTATATTCAAATGTATAACTCTATTATAAATTCATATTCTTGTGTTACAACAACTGTATTTAACAGTGTGGGAAAGTGTTGCATTAAACCATATTATCTAATCACCATCCAAAATTACAAAGGGCGATTTTTGAAGATGAAAGATGTGAAAAATAGGCTTTGCCTTCCACTGTAGTAAAGGCATTGTGATTCCAGGTGTCCTTGTGTTCTTCTGAGAATTAGTTCTGGATTTGTTAGCCAATTATTGAGGAGAACCTGTCTGTGGTTGGAGTCTGATAAACCCTAATTTGATAACATATAAAGCCATAATCTTTGAAGCAGCTAGTTGCAAAGTGAGATCACCCTTAAACTAGCGTAGGGTGGATCTCTGCTCTGTGTCCTTGAACAGTAACTATAAGGTGAATGCATGAACAATATTTAAGCTGCACTTGTACTGACCAGACAGCTGAAACAAATCTTTCCACACAAGTTTTCTTGTGTTGTTGAAAGGATAGTAAGTTGTAAGAACTGAAGTAAAATGTTGGCCAGGGAAAAGAGCAACAAAAGCTGTTATGAGAAAAATGTTAGAGAAAATGCTTTGTTCCATGAGGGCTTCTGGAGATGAAGGCACTGTGAGAGAGACAGTGAGGGGATGAGACCAATAGCAAAGAGAGGGAGGAAGGCACCAGATTTGGCTGCAATCTTCTGCTGACTTTTCCCCTTGTCTCACTTCCTATTTCATTGTGTGAAATGTCTTTCTTGTAATCTTTCTCCTTCTGCACATTTTCAAACACACCACCTTTCGTTCTCTCTTTCCCCATCTTGCATCTTCTACCATCCATCCCAGTTGATACAGTCATTTCCATTTACTGTTTCATTACTCACACAAGCAGTGGCAGAATAAAACCTCCTACTTTATTAGCCCGTGATTTTGGGAAGGGTAAGGAACCTCTTAACAAGAGGCCTGAAACCCTATCATATCTATTATCAGAAGATGGTTTGTGAAACACCTGCTAATGATTGACAAAGAATGGAGAAATATTGCTCACGTGAGACTTGATCTGAGTGTGCTGACTTTTAACCAAACATCCTAAACCTACAAACAAGTCTATCAACTACAGTGGGACTATCGGTGTGCTTAAATATTTTGGGGGCTCAGAGTACAGTTCTGTACAGCCCTGAATTCTTGCTATTAAATTTCCTCTTTTTTTTTTTCCCCCAACTGCTGAATGGGATTAAAAAGATAAACTAAACTAAAATGTTATATCCTGTCATAATGTCATTCTGATCTCAGAGAAGTTATTGTAACACTCCTGAGAGAACATGTGCTAGTCACAACTAAGATACAGGGATAAGGAGTCTCTCAGGTGAACTAGGGGACATGTGCTAGTCACGACTAAGATGCAGGGATAAGGAGTCTCTCAGGTGAACTAGGGGTAAGATATAACAGATAGAGTCTAAACAAAAATTTAAAAAAAACCACCAAAACCCGAAAAAGTTTAAGGATATTCTGACTGCTGTAATATGAGCAGGGGTGATGGTGGCTATGGAATAAACGACTGCTCCAAACAGTGGTTTCTGGGTGTTGTATGCATAGAAACAGGCTAAATGACATAACACTATCTCATCACTGATCTCAGCTATTTTTGCCTTATACGGCCAAAGACCTTTTTTAAAAAAAACCCCTGCTGTTAACAACTAAGCAAAAGGCCATTTTTTCTTTCATCTACAAATGTCAGCAACATGTTGAGCACTCAGGGACCAATGCAAGCTGGGGGTTGGTGCTACAACCCTACACCTATAGCTCTCTACTATCTGCAGAACCACAAATTTTCTGAGACTTCACCAAAGCCATGCCTAGCACCCTATATCCTTGCAGACCTGTGATTTACCCCTGGCACTCTGTATCCTAACCTGCTAGTGACCCTTCATCCTTCCTTGCCTAGCCCTAAGCAGGCTACCTCTTTTACA